GTCTATGCGCTTAGTCTCGATCTGTTTATAAGCCTATATAAATATATACTTCTTGACGGAAGTAACAAGTTTTTCAAATGCGTTTTTTCCCACCCACTTTCAAAATTCCGCACGGGACGGCGCCCCCTTTTCATTTTTGCGCCCCCCAAGAATTGCCAGCTGGGGGGGGGGCGTGGCCCCCCGGCCCCCCCCCCTGCCAGCACGCCACTGGTAGATAAGAATGTCTAAAATCAGTAAATCAGCATTTTTTAAAACTTTGGTAAGCAATATCTCAGCAACGAGTGACTGAAGGTGGTCGGTATAATATAGTTTTTTTGTTCACTTATGTGTAACTATCTGATGGTATTACAACATTTTCAAAATTCGAAGATTTTTATTTTTTATTACTATAGATGACGTCATCGACGGAATAACATCGATTTTTCAATCTTGTGCACAGTTATGATTGGGGGGTTCTTTTAATATTCAATTTGGCATGCTCCTCCATGACTTTATGAAAGAGCTGGTTAGTCTCGCGATATGTGCAATGAAAATCTTTTTCTAGGCACATTTTTAGATGGCAGACGACGGCCTATTTATGAATAAGGTCTATAAATCTAACTTTATTTAAGGAGGCTCCCTACAGTTCCGTGCGGGATGTTCGCGAGACAAGTACGTGAACTATCCCACGCAACTGCATGATCAAAACAAAACAAAAATTGACAATGCTTTTTTTAAAAATAAAGTTATTTCTGAAAGGTTTCTAGTGGAAAAAAGCGTTGAATAATACTTCGTTTTGAGCGCTAAATCACTTGCGAGTCTATACAGCAATTCTACATATGATACGAATATCACTAGACCAAAAAATAGCTACGAAACAATATTTTAAATTTTTTTATACACTGTCAACTGACTCAATTGTAAAACATTTGCAAAATTGTATACAAACGTTTAAAAAGTTGTTTACTTCTCAAGAAAACGTTCACGTTTTTAGTCGTGTTTCTACAAGATTAAAGTGATTATATGTAAACAGAAAAACATTTCAGTTTCATAGCTTAATTGTTCATTTTTAGCAAAAAGTACTAAACCAAACATGAAACAAAAAAACACGTCCACCTGTTAATACGCTGTTACAGCTCATAAATTGAGTAAACGGCAGGATTCAATTAGCTTCAACCTTGTTTTCATCGATTTAATCCTTCACAATAATCATGATATATGAAATAATAAAGATAGGTCACCGACATCGTTTTTGAGATAGCGGCACATTTATGGGTTAAATTGGAAGGCTTTATGCTGTCGTCATGTTGCCATGGGAACATTGACATCGTCGAAATCTGGTTCGAAATATTCGTTAGGTGACCAATATTGCCACCGAGTCGAAAAGAATTCGCGTTCTGCACGAATAAGCCTGTTTTACGGAATTATTGCTTAAACAAGAATAACTGTAGGGAGCCACCTTAACTGGTCAACTGTTAAACATCAGTCCCTTAATTTTTTTTACAAGCTACTGAGTGTTGATTGAAGCCTTGGCAAAAGTGCAATCACCATGAGCAGATACATGTACGCTTAGCGTACCTATTTTATATATACATGCAGTGGCGTAGGAAACTCGATAATTGGGGGGGGGGGGCAACATTATATATTCGTGTTAACAGACCTTAAAAACAATTGACTTCAAAAGAAATTAATAAAGCAGAACACGAATATATGAATATTACCCCCCCCCCCAATTGTCTTGTTTGCTACGCCACTGTTAATACATGACTTATTCGATATAACACATTGTTTTACCTTCCATGGTTTAACTGTGTGGTAGAAAATCCAGCCTTTGTCATCTTTACTGCAGACGTGAAACTCGTGATCAAGTTTGTGTGTTAACTGACAGCTTGTTTTTTTCGGTTGTCCTTTGAGCATTCTAAAGTTGAATCCCGTACAGAAAACGTCTTGCAAACATTTCTGAGCACATTGTGTCTGAAAATCATACGTTTCCTTTAATATATTCTTTATCAAGGGACAGACATCTAAAGAATTAATGAATATTATTAAATTAAAGTCATGCAATAATTTGATTCCGGGCAATAATTTGAACTGCAATAATTTTCCATTATATTTAATTTATTATCGTAATCATGATAACTTACTTTTATTTATCGCCGGAAAATAACGATTTTGCCTGACTCATGATGAACAATATAAAAATATGTCTCCGATGATTCGCACGAAAGTCGAGTTATCGCGCAAGAGTGTATGAAAATAAAACTCGGTAATTTCCGCTTGGTAAAATTTCCTTCAGTTAAGTTTTGGGGAGAAGCGGTTTACTACCCTTAAAAATTTTTAGGAAGGCTGAAATATTTTTCAAGTCTAATTCATCTTATGCATAAGTATCACATCTTGTGGTACGAGCCCAAAGCCCCTTTTACAGTACGCTCTCGTTTTTTGGTACCGTACCACTTTATTGGTTCTTGGATTACCTATAAATAGGTTGTCCAAGAACCAAAAAAGTGGTACAGGTACCAATTTTATCCTTGCCGTACAAAAAATTGAGCGTAGTGTAAACGGGGCTTAATAGTAATAAAGATGCCTCGTGGAATTTATTGAGTCGTTGCACGTATTGAATTACCTTTTAGTTTCTAAAGATCGGCCTCGATCACCGCTCGGGGTCTCAGAAGTATTTTTTTGAGTAATAAAACTTAAGAACATCTTTTACTCATCATATACCAAGCTTACAAACTTACTAGACGATAAACTACAACGTTTACATTAACATCACGTCTAATATTACACAACAATAAATTCAGACAAGCTTTAAGTACGAAGCAGACATACAGTAACATCACTCGAACCGATATATAGAGGATATTAGACAGTTGCGAGGAGATACGGATTTTATGTTCGAGTGGCAAAAACACTATAACACGTGAACATAAATCCATATCTTCTCGCAACCGTTTAATGTTCTGTTTATTTATATGGACTTATTCAGAGTGACAAAAATATCAGATATCAGATATCAGATATCAATACATTATTTCTTGCTTCATTGTTATAATTTTACTATTTTAATGCTTCTTGGTATTAATATTGAGGTTGTTTCTGTACTGCATTTTAGGTACTGTAATTACATGTCAAGGTGTACCAAGTTTGAGAGCTTGTTTTGTCCGATTATGTTTACCGAGTGTACCACTTGCAGCAATAGGAAAATAATACAGTTACAGACAATGTTATCTTAAATAATCATGTAATTTGGTATTGACAATTGATTTACGTATACAAAAAACTGTAGTAAATGTTGGTCTGCATGTTCCTTTGGTAAGCACGATGAGTGGAGTGTGCATCTTTAAACATCCTTGTTACCAGCAAGAGGGTTCGGCAAAGAAAACTATGGAAAATTTAGCTATACCAATAATCGGGCATTATTTCAATGGGCATTCAATGCCAAATATCAACAGTCATCTTCGATTTGGATTCTTGGGCATCTTATAAATGTTAAGTTGTGCTCTTATGCATTACGTAATTGATTAATAATTATATATTCATGTTGTTGTAAAAGACATATTGTTGTTTGTTAATTGAAATGATATAGAGTTACATATAAATAGGGAGCAGAGACTCATTACCATATTTGGTGATAAACTGACCAATCACAGTAAAACGATATATATGTAAATAATGTATAAACCACTGTAAAACTGTTAGTTGTATTCTGTCTGTTATGTGAAATAAATCTATATAGAACTTGTGCGAAGTTGAATTATTATATTATAAAGAATGACAACCGCCGTAAACCCAACAGGTTATGGGCCCAGGAGGGGAATATTATTTAACGGCGATGAGAGCAAATACGAGCTGTGGGAAGTTAAGTTTCTGGCGCAGATGAGACTGCAGAAATTATACGACGTATTTGTGCCAGGTGATAAACAACCCGAAGCGCCGAAGAAAGCAGATGCTTTCGCTGAGTTGGTTCAATGCTTAGACGACCGAAGCCTATCCCTTGTAATACGCGAAGCAAAAGACGACGGAGAAAGAGCGTTAGAAGTAGTGAGGCGCCATTATCAAGGCAAGGGGAAACCTCGGGTTATCGCGCTGTACACAGAATTGACCACGCTGAAAAAGTCGGAGAACGAGAGCATTGTGGATTATGTTATACGGGCTGAGAATGCGGCGACAGCGTTACGAACCTCAGAAGAAGTAATAAGCGACCCGTTATTAATTGCGATGGTACTCAAGGGACTACCGAGTAGTTTTAAAACATTTTCCGCGATTGTTGTGCAACGAGACAAGGAAATGACATTTGCTGAATTCAAGACCGCATTACGTAGCTACGAGGAAAGCGAGAAAAGTCGTAATAGTGACACTGGGGACAATGTTATGTTATTTAAAAACAACGGAAAGTTTGAAGGCACCTGTTTTAAATGTGGCAAAAAGGGTCATAAGAAATCTGATTGTTGGTCGAAGTCGGGGAAGACCGGAAAGTGGTGCAACATTTGTAAAAGTAAAACGCATGAAAAGAAGGAATGTCGAACGAACTCCGGAGGTAGAGAATCAACGAAGAAAGCAGAAGAAAAAGGTTTCAAGGAACACTCATTTACACTCACACTAAGTGACAATAATGATGAACATTTGGGTAAGACTATTAATACCGTATATAGTAATTTACTTGTAGATAATGGGGGAACCAGTCATATTATTAATGATAAGTCTAAGTTTATAGCATTTGATGGAAATTTTGATTCAAGTTCCCACGTCATCGAACTTGCTGATGGCAGCAAGGCAAATGTAGTAACAGGTAAGGGCGTAGCAAAGGTTAAGCTTTATGACGTCAACGGAAGTTCGCATGATATAATCTTAAATAACGCGCTACGTACCATCTTATAAACAGGATATATCTTCCGTAAACGCAGCAGCAGAGGAAGGCGGAAGTATAAGTCTCGACAGGCATGCTAAGCAGTTTAAAAGCTCAGATGGCTCTGTGTTTAATATTGAGCAAGTTGGTCGTTTGTATTATTTGAATAGCATTTCATCTTCGAGAAATAGTGCGTGTACTCTTACAGAGTGGCATAGGATCCTAGGACATTGTAACTTAGGGGATATACGTAAACTAGAAAGCGTTGTAGAGGGAATGAAGATCTCAAGTTACGATGAGATTGAATGCAAGATATGCACACAAGGTAAGATGACACAGTCGAGAAGTAGAATTCCTGATAGAAGGGCAAAAGCCCCATTAGAATTGGTGCATTCCAACCTTGCTGGACCTATCAATCCAGTAGGTAAAGATGGTTTTAATTATGCCTTATCTTTTGTTGATGATTACTCAGGTGTAATTATGATATATTTCCTTAAACAAAAATCAGATACACTGGAAGCAACTAAGCAATTCTTAGCGGATACTGCTCCTATTGGTAAGATTAATTGTATCAGAAGTGATAATGGTGGAGAATTTGTAGGGCAAAAATTCGAATCTCTCCTCCGTGAAAATAATATTAGGCATGAAACATGTGCTCTGTATTCACACCATCAAAATGGGACCGCTGAGAGAGCTTGGCTAAGCCTATTCAATATGGCAAGATGCTTGTTGCTATAGAAGCAAATTTCCCTAAAATGATGTGGACATATGCTGTTATGGCATCGGCATACATAAGGAATCGATGCTTTAACGATAGGCTGGGTAAGACCCCTTATGAAGCTCTAACTGGTTTAAAGCCCAATTTAAGTAACATGCGTGTTTTTGGTGTGGTATGCTATGCTTATGTACAAAATGCTAAGAAGCTGGAACCCAGGAGTAAGGAAGGAATTTTTGTGGGATATGACAAAAAGAGCCCGGCTTACTTAGTATATTATCCTGAAAGCAGGAGGGTTGAGCGGGTTAGGTGTGTCAAGTTCTTTGATTCTTTAAGCCATGAGAACGAGGTCCTTTCAACCAATGAAGAGGTTGAAACTGTGCCTAGTGTATTGCCTAATGTAGGGCAAAACTCCAATGTGAATGAAGCAGAGAACGCGGCCTTGGCAGAGGTACAAGAGGGTACAACAAGGTACCCTACTAGAGCTCGAAACAAACCCTCTTATCTAAGTGAATATGTTGTTGGAAGTGTTGTTGACAATAGTATAAACCATGCTGTAGATTATTGTTTTAGAATGACTGATGTTCCAATCTCCTATTCAGAAGCGGTGAGCTCCCCAGAGGCGGCAAATTGGAAAAGGGCTATGGATGAGGAGGTGGACTCATTAGTAGGTAATGAAACTTTTACACTTGTCCCACCCCCACAGGACCGTGAGATAGTGGGGGGGGGAAATGGGTCTACACAGTTAAGACCGGCCCCAACAATGAGGAAACCTATAAGGCTAGGTATGTAGCCAAAGGTTACTCCCAAATCCCTGGCGTAGACCATCACGAGACGTTTGCCCCTACAGCCAGAATGAGTTCAGTTCGTGTGTTGATGCAACATGCAGTACAAAATAATATGCTCGTGCATCAGATGGATGTCAAAACGGCATATTTAAATGCGCCTATTGATTGCGATATTTTTGTTCAACAACCAAAAGGTTATGAAAAGGAAGGAGAAAATGGTGAAAAGCTTGTCTGTAAGCTAAAGAAATCTTTGTATGGACTAAAGCAGAGTGGGAGGAATTGGAATGTGTTGCTGCACAATTACTTAATAAAGGAAGGGTTTACGCGATCTCTTGCTGATCCATGCGTGTATGTTTGCTTTGTTGGAGATGATGCAAATACTTGCATCATTATTGTCATTTGGGTTGATGACTTGATTATTTCAGCCAGTAGTTCTGCCCTGTTGTTAAGTGTAACGGATCGTTTGAGTAGTCGGTTTAAAATGAAAGATCTTGGTGTATTGCATTGGTTCTTAGATACTCAGGTCAAATGCTCTGATGATGTAATCGAGATGAATCAGACTCGTTATATTCAGAAGTTGTTATCTAGATTTAGAATGACAAACTGTAAACCTAAGGCAACACCATCTGTCCTCGGATTAGATAAGGTCACGGAGGAAATATCACCAGAATTAGAAGATCCCAATTTGTATAGGCAAATTGTTGGAAGTTTGATATATGTCATGACTGGTACTAGACCAGATCTGTGTTACATCGTTACTAAATTATCTCAGCATATGTCCAAACCCAAGGTAGCTGACTTGAATGTAGCTAAACATGTGCTTAGATATTTAAAGGGGACATCAGAGCAAGGTCTAAAGTTTAGAAAATCTGAAAACCCTCTGTCTCTAATTGGTTTTAGTGATTTTGACTGGGGAGCTAGTATTAGTGATAGGAGGAGTATATCTGGTTACAGTTTCCAGTTGTCCGAGGGTGGACCATTGGTATCATGGAAGAGTAGGAAACAACAAACTGTAGCTTTGTCTACTTGTGAGGCAGAGTATATAGCTCTCGCCGAAATTGTGCGGGAAGGGAAATTCTTGAGGCAATTATGCCTCGACCTAAAGGTACTTCAGGTAAGTAATAGTGTACTTGTAAATGTGGATAACCAAGGCGCGATACAACTAGCGAAGAACCCTATGTTCCATAAGAGATCGAAGCATATAGATATCAAGTACCATTTTATTAGGAGCGAACTGGAGCTAGGTACGATAAACGTCGAGTATGTTGCAAGTGAGGATAATTTGTAAAACTAAGTTGGATAAATTCAAATTTTTCATTTGTAATTAGATGTGACAAAATATAGGTTTGACATATTCATAGGACATGCGAGCAAGTGGGGGTGTTAAGTTGTGCTCTTATGCATTACGTAATTGATTAATAATTATATATTCATGTTGTTGTAAAAGACATATTGTTGTTTGTTAATTGAAATGATATAGAGTTACATATAAATAGGGAGCAGACACTCATTACCATATTTGGTGATAAACTGACCAATCACAGTAAAACGATATCTATGTAAATATTGTATAAACCACTGTAAAACTGTTGGTTGTATTCTGTCTGTTGTGTGAAATAAATCTGTATAGAACTTGTGCGAAGTTGAATTATTATATTATAAAGAATGACAACCGCCGTAAACCCAACAATAAACAGATCTTTAAACGTTTGTTCTGATGAACTTAAAAGTTGTGGATGTAAGTATTTTTCTATCATTGAATGATTGATTCTAGTATACAATAACTCAAAAATGTTAATTAATAATATAATTAGTAATTATTGCAAATTTGCAATATTATGATATCAA